AATGTAAATACGCTTTAAAGTAAACAATGTGGTGACGAGTTGAGAGTGTGAAAATTGAGAAGGTCGAGAAGGTTCGAATCCGGTGTGTACCCGTGACTTTATGTTCTCAAATTTTTTAAATAAAAACCCTGCATCGCGGGTGCCATGGGCACACACACATAGACAACCACAAATTACACCCAAACTCACGAGAGAAATAAATGTAAGCCATACAAACATTTCTCCCGGCCCGGGAATCGAACCTGAGACCTCTGCGTGGCAGTCCGGCATGGTAACCGTTCGGCCACGGAGGCAGTTAAATAATAATTATTTTTTAACTTCAATATAATTTTTAATATGTTCTAGTAACTCTATGTCTACATTCACCTCCAACTCTGAAGAGAGTAGTTAACAATTTTCTTAGTAAAAAAAAACAATTCGACAAACTTAAAAACGTCTAATGGAAGGAGCCATTAAGCATTCATCGATTCTTAATTTGTCCCCTTCCTTAATTATTCTTTCTTTCGATTCATCGAATCGACCTAAATTTCTCGAATATAATCGATTACAAAAGTCGTAAATCTTAAAAGGTTATTTTCTTAGAATTATCAGTTCTATCGACGCCCAAATTCATTTTCAACGATACCGCGTACTTAATGATCGAAGTTACAAAGACTATTATAATATTATTTGTGAAGGCATAAAAAATAAGTTTGAAAAAGGTAGGAGATAAAAATTTTTAATGAAATTAGAAAATTGAGAAATATCGCTTTGGCGATTCGAATTTCCAGAATTCGGCGTACTTGAAAACTTCTGACTGGGGGCACGGAAGTGTCCCCGTCAAAGTTGTTGTCGTCCATTAAGGCCGGCGCAGAATGACGTCGCGGCACGGCACGGCATGCCGCGGCACATCGTGGCGTCCCGCAGCAAGGCCAGCCACTAATTTTCAACTAGTTTTGCTCTCAAACCTTTTTTCAATTAGTTTAATTGTCATAATTCTGTGACCGACGTGACTTGCGGGACGTCTGTGGAATGAAACGGCATGCTACGATGTGCCGCGGCATACCGCGGCGTCCTGCGGCATGCCGCGGCATGCCACGACGTGCCGCGGTATAATTGTATCGAAATAAAGTAATATGAATTCTAACCTCGATGAAATAAGGATAAAAATAACTTGATCAAAAATAAAATCCTTTGCCGTGACGTGCCATGCCGCGACGTCACTCTGCGCCGGCCTTTATTTGTCACCATACTGCCGCCAAATAGTAATGTGACCATTACGTTCCGGTTTTGAAGGGTAATGTAAGATGCTGGTGAAATTACAGGCACATGAGACTCGTAAACTTATGTCCCAGGGTAATGGGCGCCTTAAATCTTTGCAATATAAAACTTTCAGTGGCGCACGACTTGGTCGTCCTGTCACTAGGAATTATAAAAAAATCTCTCTCCCATATCTTTGTCATGTAAACACAACCTGAGCATTACTTTGGTAACTAATGTTGTGATTGAAATTAAGTTTTTATTGAATATCAAACTGTTTTCCATTCAATTATTTTTTTATGAAACTAGTTTGTTATAATTATTTAAAAAAGATAGAACACTTTCTTTAATCACGGCACATCGGCACGGTTTGCTGGGAGACGTTGGTTCGTATCGAACCGGATTGGACTGAGTTATCTTTGTTGTAATCATTAATACAAAGATCGAATACTCAGAAAAAATTCCTTCGTTCCGTTCGGATTCGAACCGACGTCTTCTTGCATACCGTGCCAGACGCTATACCAACTAAGCCACGGAACGGACCAACGGACCCAACGAATTTTTCTGTGTGCTTGCATCGTGTCTTTGTATTTGGTTTTTCAACGGCTTTTTAGTCGTAGCGCCATCTATGAGAAATCTATGAAAGATTTATCACCCAGTTAGTACCTTTACAGCTACTAGTCCTGGCGAGAGATGCGAGTTATCTTTGACAAAGATTAAACATTAAACTTTATGTAACTTATTGAACCACTAAATTGCAATTCTATCTTAGGTAATTGAAATAATTTATCCATCATACTGAAAATGTAACTATTTTTTCGTATATAAAATCGAGTATATTTGTTATTTCGGGCTCTTTACGTGTCTCATGATCACTGCTGACTGCGATGGTATTATTCATCAACCAATTATGTCTATATAATTTATCAGTTATGCCTATATAGTCCAAAAAAATCTATATTAGAAACCACCCACTTCTGATTACCGCCTTTTCACAATCTTCCATACATCTTTACATTTCTTTCAAGGTTTGAATGGCCTCATATAATAGCAATTGTTAATTTAGTGATTTATAATAGCTTGCTAAACTAGTGTAAGTACTCACTATTACGTCCTTGAGGTAGAGGTCTGGTTATCTATATAACACAGGTTTTACCTAGCTTAGATACCAGTCTCCACCAGTAATATTTGTAAGCTATTGGGAGAAAATAAATTTCTGTTCTATTCTATTTCACTTTAAACAACAAGATAATACGGTTCACGATAAAGTAGTCTTCTGCAACTTAATATAACGAATCCATTAAGAACATAAACGATTTTTTTTTTACTATATGTAATTGAATGAAGAGACTGTTCACGTTCACGTGATATATATGAACAGACAACCTGACCAGACATAACTTAACACGTGACGATAATAGACCACTCAGCAGTGCACTGGCTGAGTAACAATGTGCAAGACCAGCCTGCTGAGTAGACGTTTCCTTTGTTTTACATTTAAAAATTATATTGTAGATATAATGCACACGTGTAAATAGAATTTGTGTAAATAGTCTAGTTTTTAGAAATAAGGATCTCTTTGAATCCAAACATCAACGCTGTCTCATTGACGACGACGAAACTCTCCTGACTAACAGCATCCTCTCACTGCGGCCAAGACACCTTTAGACACGTCATCTTTTCTGATCAGTCTCGTGAGACTATGAGACTGGCAGTGAGAAAATTCACTCCTTGCACCCCTTATCCTTCCTACCTTCCGTCTGTTACCTTAGGTCGCATTGTAATAGCCTACCTCTACCTATCTATATACGTATATATAGTAGTGTATGGTTAGGGCTAGGCTGTTAGGTAGGAACGTAGGGTTGTTCGTGATAGGTTACAGCTTTCCCTTACCATTTCATGTATAGCCAGCTAGCTAGACGATACTCAACAGTAACACTCATATCACACCCAACAAGTACTACACAAGGACAGAGATAAAGTTAATTGGCTCTAAAGAGACCTCACTAGTTTTTACGGAAAAAGATTTGCGAGTGTTGACCTCTATTTTTTGGTTGGTATGTTTTTTAAAATATTTATCATTATCATCGTAAAACAATAAGCGCCCAGCAGTTACCAAGCCTCCAGGTACATTAATGGCGAATCTGAATTCTATTTACTAGGCAACAACATTTAAAATCCCTCGGCCACGGCGTAGACCAAATTCAAGCCAGACACACCCAAGTGTCCGGGACGCTCATTTAAGTTAAAACGTAAAAGCTGAATAAATATAGCGTATTTTGCCATGGCAGTTAAAAGCACGCGTCCGCTGCGCGGCGGCATCGGGTACTCAAAAGGAAATTGGAAAGATTTGGGACTGTCAATCCTATCATGTCTGTCATTGCACCGAAAATTTTCTTCATAATCTCAGTACAGAGTACTAAAAAACCATCCTTGAAAGTACGGGGAATTTGCCAAGTTTTGTTGTAATATGGGGATATTTAGTTCGCCACTACACAGATCTTGACACAGGAGATAATAAGAATCAGACGTCACTACTAAAAGTATATATATTTTTATTTTTTTTAATAATAACGCACACACTCAACATAGCCCCGCACTAGGGAAACCCTGTGTCGCGGATGCCATGGACACATACATAGACAACCACAAATTACACCCAAACTCACGAGAGAAATAAATGTAGGCCATACAAATATTTCTCCCGGCCCGGGAATCGAACCTGGGGCCTCTGCGTGTCAGTCATGGTAACCGTTCGGCCACAGAGGCAGTTAAAATTACTGAGACAAATTATTGAGAGAGAAAAACGCCTTGAATTGGAGAATAGCAAAACCAACCATTAAAATAATTGCTCCTTAAGTAAAATTTAGGTGCTATTTATAAAAATGAATCTTTATGCGTGAACAGCCACCCTCAGAGGTGGATGATTTTCTTCAAAATGAAATGGGACCACTATGGAGGTACCCTCTTTCCAACAAAAAAAAAAGAATCATGAAAATCGGTTCACAAATACCAGAGTTATCGCGTAACATACATTCAAAAAAACATACAGTCGAATTGAGAACCTCCTCCTTTTTGAAGTCGGTTAAAAATGGCCAATACCTACTCCCGGCGGCATCACGGACTCCGCTCGGCGACCGTGCGCGGCGGGTGCGATGAAATACGTGTCAAATAAATGCGCCCTAACATTTGATTGAAGAAAAAATAAATTACATGAAAAAGGGCTCCAACTCTGCTAATTTTAAATCATTCCATTTGTATGTCGATGGTGTCATGACAGAATTTTGTACGTTTAGTATTGTGCTAAAATATTGGGCTTGTCAGTAGCTGTAGCTAGCCATTATGAGCCTCCTGCTCTTCAATGGTGAGTCAATGGTACCTACGTCGATGGCACCTTGAAGATGTAGTCTACTAATTACAAAATCAAGATATGCATAGTAATTTCGATGCTAGTTTTAGTATTTTTTTATTAAAAAATAAGTGCGCATTTGATTTCCATCTCTCCTGATGAAAAGTAGAAAAGTCTCATTTACTACAATGACCAGTGATTTCAAAAAAATTGCAGAAATGGGGTCCTGCAACATCATAAAAATTTATTAACACATTTGAATTCTCCTTCTTTCTCTAATCTGTTGCCGAAGTGACATTTGAAAAGTAAATTCAAAATGTGACATTGACGTAGGGCAAAATTTTGTAAATCAATAAAACATTATTTACTATATTACTTTTTTTACGCAGTTTGTGTATGTGATAGTGGATGGAAGGCTATGGTTATCCGTATCCCTCTACTTTCCTACCCATGCGGGAATACCCCGACCATGGCGATGGATTTGGGGATTACCATGGGCCTTTGAACGAAGACACTTCCAGAAGGTGAGTGTATGTTTTTTGCGGACCACTATGAGTAGATACTTGTTCTACAGGCAGACTGCATATAATTGAAGATGTTATGGTTAGTGCGGAAGAAAAGGGACACAAAAAAAATTTTTTTTTAAACTATATAGGGCATCATTTGTATAAAAATAACGTGCACTCTAATAGCCCCGCACTAGGGAAACCACAAATTACGCCCAAACTCACGATAGAAATACAAATATTTCTCTCGGCCCGGGATTCGAAACCGGGACACCCACGTGGCAGACCAGCATGGTTACCGTTTGGAGACTGTTTTTATGTAGGAATCGAAACTGGCTATGGAAAAGGGCTAGTTTGTAACTAACTGAACTAAAAAAAAACCGTTAAATCCACTAGAAATGAAGTCATAGTACAATCACGTATATAATCTTTATGCTAAATGATTTCCAAATCACTCAAATAGTAATATACCATAAGTGACTACAACGGCAGAGGAGAATATCGTGAGGAGGAATATCGGAGATGATGAAAGCGTTTGCCTATGTCCTTATAACCCTCCCAACAGTGGAGTTCCGTGGCAGTGGGACGAATATGCTTACATGCAGTGGAATATCTACGAAAATGGTCACGAGAAGTATTACAACTACCAACCCACGTACTTCCATCCTAGTCAGAACTTTGAACATGGAGATTTATACCACGATAATGTAAGGTAAGCGGTCTAAAAAAATTCGTGTTGGATACTTCTATTACATCTGCACAATCCAATCTACTGACCCGTCGCACATATTGCCGTGTGAAGTTAAGCTTCTCACTATGCACGCCATTTATATTCCCTTGCGACAACTGGTCACAAAAAATCCTATATCTATTTGCAACCAGGAGGACTAAGATTGAAATCCATGTCGACGCGGCATTTAAAATCTTCTTTTACAGACCCAGCGGATCAAAGCGCCAGCGGCCCCTTCGCAAATCTCGGCACAAGCGTTCACACTCACGCGAAAGTGAAACGAAAACCCCGAGGGCATCAAAATCACGATCTCGCACAAGATCCCGCACCAGATCCCGTTCGAGGTCCAGAACAAGGTCCAGGTCTAAAACTCGATCGAAAACTCGCTCCAGGTCGCATTCCAGGGCACCAACTCGCAGTTGCTCTGGAAGTCGCCGGCAGTTGAGTTCAATAAAACCCGGATTCCTTGATGCATTTCGTGTGATGTATTTGACACGTAAGGTTCATGTTGTTTTTCGTTTTCGTACAGTAAATTTGGAAGAAGGAACCAAAAATAGATGTCAGAAACTGTTCCTCTTAGGCGACCGACCCTTTTTGAAGCTTTTCTTCTTAAAGTGTCTCTCCAACACTGAAGGTTGGCAGTCAATACAGACAGGTCCCTATCCATACCCAAACGAAAGAGATGTTTAGTGCTCATGACTCCAGGCATTTCCTTTATGTTGCATAACTATGACTTTTTACGTCTTCCAGTGCATCTTTTGCCTTGAAGGCAAAAGGAAACACTCAGTTGGTCACGTCTTAAAATCCATTGTCTGGTTAAATTTATTCTCTGTCTCTGTTTTTTCACCTTTCATGATTGTGTACTCCAGCCATTAACATGTCTGCTACAACTCATATACGTAGCAGCTGGCCAGTCGTCATTATCTTGATTGTGCAAGGAGATAAATGCTTCTTTTTTTGTAATATTAAGTGACGGGACGAACAATTTGTGTGTTTGCAGTGCCACTCAGAGCTTTAAATCGCAAAGATCTGAGGCGCACTGCCACTGCCCCAATCACCCTGAGACGTAAGTTGACAAGTCTCATATGCCTGTAATTTAACCAGCACCCTTACCCTGCCAAACCGGAACACAATAATGCGCACATTACTGCTTGGCGGCAAAAACTGGTAAGGGAAGTATTGCCTTCACTGGACGAACTCATTCACAAGGAGCTCACTCCTACTGAAGTGTAACGGAACTATATTTATACTAAAACCGTCTGCAATAGCTTTGAGTTTGCTTTACTGCATACCTTGCCTCATTATAATTTGAAACAGTCGGTATCTATCGTGTGGAACCACGTTAGCGAGATGCAATCTTGCGCTGGTCCGCGTTATCCGAAGCTATTTGATGGAAATTTCGGTTACATATGAATAAATATCTATCATTTCAAATATAACTTTAACAAGTCTAACATTTATTCAATGAAACAGTGAAAAAGAAAAGTGTTTGGGATGTCTATGGTTATTGATGGCACATACAAAAAGTAATATTTTTCTGCTTACCAGTATTTTCGAAAAAATAGTCTTTGGTCCTGCCTCCAAAAATATAACGCAACAAGTTTCGCCGCAATTCAGGAATGTTCTTCATAATTGTATAAAATTCACGAAGAGCCCAGTCTTGAATAATTTTACCAGTAAATAAATTGAAATAAAATGGGGCAACTAGCTACGGTAAAACCCAGCAGATGTTACGACCTTGCACCATTGCCAATTATTTTATTTTTATTTTTATAAAAAGTTTCACCAACAGCATGACATAATAATATGCAACAATTACATCACAAACACATTACAAACAGTGGTATCATTATAAATATGCTCGCCAATAACAGTATTAATTATTCCTTTAAGTATCAACTTAAGTGCTCTGTTATTCTGATGTCAATCACCGTGAGCCAATCTCAAATTAGAATTGAATAATTTTAACGTACCCCTCGTGGAAAAAAGGCATAAGTGGAGTTACGTCAAACATATTTATTGCTTCATTAGATTCAGAAAAATATAACCCAGATCCTCTTCAATTCTTCAAGAGTTACAAGAATTATAGAGGATGTTGGGAATAAACGTTTTTGACGTAACTCCGCTTACGCCATTCTTCCATGAGAGGTGATTTGCAGAAGTAATCAACAAACATTAAGAGCTCTCAGGCCAAAAAAGTTTTGACGTTGGCTCCGCCCAAATTTGTGAAACAAATATATGCCTGAAGTTCGCGTGACATGCGACAGGAGATGTTGAATTTTGCGCATTAAAAGTACCAAATTCGTTTTAGCGGAATAACTCTAAAACTAAAGGGATTTAAAAAAATCCGTAGTGACAGTTGTCGATCATGCATAAATATAATAAAATTATATAATTTTTGTCCTAATAAGTAACCTGTAGCGTTTCGAGGATAAATCGAAAAAATGTGAAAATTAGAGGTCATTTCGTGATTTTTATCTATCGAGGAAACTTTATTGTTTTATGCATTGACTTACAATTATATGGACGTCGGGTCCGCGCTAAAAAATGTCCGAACTTATAGGGCGCTAAAATCGTATACAGAGCGTCATTCACGCACGTTTGTTCGACTGACAGCGAAGCAAGCAAAATTAGACAGGACTGCAATGACATTACAATTTAAATTCAACGTTTTAGCTATTTCATATTCCTTGACATGTCACTACGTTTAAATAGGTTGACTTGGGACATTTTTTTCGTGGTTTTTGTATTAGACCCGTCGTCCATTTATTTGTAAGTCAATGGTTTTATGTTTCTGATTAATGTCTATGCTTGAATATATCGTGTAGTTACTCATACCATATTTTATTTTTAACTTTAAAGTGGATATACCCAAAAAAAAATGAAATCAAATCTAAGATTAGGATTTTTTTTAGGAAAATTCGGAAAACACGTGTTCCGTACGTTGTTGCCGCGTTTTTAAAATATCTTATTAAATAAGCGACGTATATGTCGAATACACAATTAAGTACTATATTAATCAATGTCTAACGTCAAAGTCATGTGCAATAGGGTCAAAATACAAAAACGCGATGCGACGTCGTGCCGCAGAAATCAACGTGCTCGCACAACGCATCGCAAAAAATTGCGAAATTTTGAAGTTAATCTTCTTTGTGTCTTTGTCCTATACTTTCTTATCAATAACAGCAGTGCAACACTCTTTTTACGATCCATGTCGCGTACTAGTTTAAAAAATACGTTCAGTACGGTTGACGATTGTCGAAGAAATGGTTACCCGAACCGTGGCAGAGAGATGCCTTGCCGTACGAAATCGCATCGCAGTAATACGCGTCGCAGTGTTCTGTTTTCTTTTCAGTTTTGTGTTTCGACCTAATTAATAAAATGACAATAGTTAATAAATACTTCAGTCATTGTTATAATAATTTATAAACACGACAACAGCTTTCATAAATGTTCGTAATTTCCACGTTCGACTGACATTCAATGTTTATTCATTAAATTTGTATTTCGTAACATTGCAATTTAAAATACAGTATTAACGAATTTTGTATAATAATCAGTAATATGAATAATTGTTAATTTGAGAATAAAATAATGAATCAAAAAAATCAAATACGAAATGTGTCAAAATATCTCACACTTAATAGAATAAAGTCATATGTGACCACACGTCAAGAGTGCTTTTGTCACATAAATATCATAAAAATAATACGAACTACATGAAACAAAATTTGTGTAGCAAAAAATGTTATCGACTAATTTAATTTGTAGAATCTTTAAACCGCTCTTTTAAAAAGTTGTAATTTTGCAGATATGACCTTTTCACGCCACCCGAGTTCACCACAATCGAATAAGTCTTATTCCAAAAATATGACGTTAATTACTCGCGTGTTATTCTTGGAATAAGACTTATTTGATTTTGGTTAAATCCACTGTAAGTAAGAGCCTATGCACATGGCGTACTTTATTACGCGCGTTTTTCACGAACGCGCATCATCTGCGCGTATACACGCCGCAGACGCGCTGTAGTGAATCGATTCAAACGCGCGCACAGATCGCGTTGCAAGCAAGAAGCTTATATACTCCACTGGAGTTTATTCCAGTATTCTACTCAATGCTCAAGTCAGGATCTGAGTATAATTTCAAGCACTGGAAATAGGACCTTAATGGCAGGGACTTGAGTATGATTTCGAGTGCTTTAAACCATACTCAAAGCCTGACTTGAGCATTGAGTAGAGTTCTAGAATACGACCTTTAGAATTTCATGTAGTTGCTTGAGCGATACATACGCGCGACTAACACAGATGACGCGAATTTACTGCCCTATGCCCGCTTATATGTCCAATATATTATTACAATATATTATATGTCAAATTATTATAAAAGGCTTCTTAGTAGGGTATGTAATGTTTCATCGCTTTTCAAATTTCCTTTAGAAATTTGTAATAGCAGGGGCCACACGAATGTCTTGAAACTCATTGTCTTCTCCTGTTCGTTACAGCGAGTAAACACAAAAAGAGCACGACGAAGTACCTAGCGACGCAGAAACGCCAAGATCGCGTCCACGAGATACTCAAAAGCGATAGACTTGGCTCCAAACGCTGGTACTTCTACCCTCGCCAGACGAAGAGTGAACCTGGAAAAGGAACCGAAGTACCCGGTATGATATTTTGTTAATGAATAGATTCAGATGGTTACCTATCAGTAGTCTGAAATGACATTTTCCACAAATAACGTTTGCTTGAATTTTCATAGCCTCGAAAGTAATTTTGAGAGGAAAATGTTTTTTCTTTTAAACCTAACTTCACCTAACCTTTTTTTTATTATTATCGTGAGGAAAATTACGCATTCCCCGCCGCTGGGAGATGGCGGGGATATGTGGGACTCTCCTGGGGATTGTCGGTCCCCAAGAGCATACCCACTAAAAACCTTACGATGTTCGAGGCGCGGGGTCCCTTTCAGATGCTACCGCGACTCCGATGGTGCCGGTCCGCCTTTGGGCGGACCCCTACACCATCCCCCCTTTAATTATAGGGGGCAACCTGCACAGAGATGCCCCGGAACATTTGGGGCATCTATCTGCGGCGGAGGCCAGTGCAATGCAGGGGCAGGGTCTCCCAACCCTGCACCCTGCTGACCTTCGCTGAAGGGACGCAAGTGGTCAGCGTAGAGCCGTCGCGTGCGTCCTCTCCGCCGACGCCAAATGGGGTCCGAGAGGGCGCTATCTTCGCGAACGCGTTCGGCCATCTCCTTTTGCGAGAACGGGAAGCGAGAGGCCATGACCTCTCGCTTCCCAGCATGTCTGGGAAGCGAGAGTACGTCTACGAGATCCCGGCGCTGCTGGCTAAAGGTCGGGCACACCTCAAAGGTGTGCCTCGCCGAGTCTGTAGCATCGCCGCACTCGTGACACTCCGGGGTCACCTCCCTCCGATCGATCTTGTGCAGGTAGTCACCGAAATAGCCATGTCCGGTGAGTACCTGCACAAGACGGCAGCTGAGGGACCCGTAACTTAACTTAACAACGTTTCGTCATAATTCGGTTTTCGGTGTGATGAAAATTCGAACAAACGTTATTACGGAAAAAACATTCGAGTTTGTGATAGGTTACCGATTCAGATGCAACGACTTCAATGTATAGACAAGAACATTCATGCTTAGTGGTATAATCTTCCTGGGTATATTTATTTATTCTTGTTACTATTTATAACTTATTTTACAGTCCTACGAAATTATTTATGTAACCTTATCATTTTTATTTATTTATTTATGTTCAGGTTACAAACACCCATTAATACATATCTTATAGACTAACACACATAATAATACAATTCTATACCTATAATATAATTTCATACCTTCAGGAAGAACAAACATACAATCTTAGAATAATAAGACATAGAAACCTAGCCCGCACACGCTAAGTGAGGCAAATTGAAGCGCTCCCAAAGGGCCTACACGAGCGGGCGGGCCTTCAGTGCTCAAGGTCAACTTGCACCGCGAAGAGCTCCAGAATTTTAGCTAAAAATGACGAAATGTGCGGTAAATGAGTGTAGAAATACGTCAGACAAACATAAAATAGATACTAATATCACATTCCACAAGGAAGTAACGCGTTTCAACTTGTATTTTTATATAAATATTCACTAAAACCGAAAATTAACCTACTACAAAAACTACATGAATTTGAATTTTGCCTCCCTTGTGACAGTTCGTTTGATATGAAACTATCATTCTATGTGTTATTATTGTAAGCATATAATATAATAAAACATTATTTCTAAATAATATAATAGTAGTTATTTGTTAGTAACTTTATTGATGAGTAGTGTATTTATTTAAAACGCTTTCATTTTAGTTGCCTGGAAGAAATTGCTACTTAGCAATAAGGCCGCCTGGTGTACCTACATTGACATACTCTGTGATATTTACATTACTAAAACTAGCCTACATGAATTTGATTTATGCCTCACTTGTGACAGTTCGTTTGATATGAAACTATCATTCTATGCGTTATTATTCTAAGTTTGAAGGTTAATTTAATCGGAATGGTTTTTAGCTATGTTTTATTATCATCTGTTTAGCGTTTGAAGATCATCAGCTGTTTTCCAGTTAGTGCAGGGATCTCAGCCATAAATTTTTCGACGAGTAGTTTGCTGAATAGGTGACTAGACTCATCGAGTTTGTACACGTTGGATTGGTAAGGGTGCGTACAGATTTGGCGAAAGCGCAAGCGCCGCAAATGCCCTGTTTGAGAAAGGCTCGCGCGCACATATTATGTTAACAGTATTTAATTGCACGCATGCAGCACGCGTGTAGCGCGCGTGCAGTATGCATTCGCCAGATCTGATCCACACCCTTAGGTAGACAAATTGTGACTATTGACTTCTTGGAGTTGGAGTTGTAGTTTTATAGTACATTTGAATAATTATTTCAATTAAAAATGAGGTCAGTTTTTACGACCTTCAATCTTAACGTCAAACTTTTGACTCAGGTACGAGAGATAACTGCGATCAACGCATAAAAATAGATGGCGATTTCCTGCGTCATTACAAACGCAGTAAGAATTACGACGCAGACGCACCTATATCGAAACTCAAGCGTTGGGAAATCCAACTCTACAAAAGATTAGGTTTCATTCAAGCTGTGTGATTGTTAGTATTGTTTAGTCTTTTTAATAAATATATTAAGTGTGTTTTTATTAAATTGTGTTTCAATGGCCCTACGAAATACATGGTACTCCTACTTCAATTGGTCTCCTATAGACTTGAAATAGAATCGAATGGCGTGAAAAAAAGGTCCGTGAAATTGCTTTTTATCCGCTCACGCGATGCGCTCCTCCTACCGCAAAATGGCGGCTATTTGGTTTCGTAAATAAGAAAAGCATTCAGTTTAAATACAAGTTTTTATACATAAAAATTATTATTCTGCATTGCTAAATAAATACCCTCCGTACTACTAACAAAAACATCTCAAATAAAATGCAGTAATACACCGCAAATCCTGCACTTAAAAAGCACTAATGAAATTTTTGGTGTACTTGAATAAATATGATAACATTCCGTTTGAGTGATTCTAACGTTTACCATGAAATTACTCCTTAAAGTATAGTTTATAAACATCTATATTCAGGGTAAACTTAAAAAAACGCTACTTACGGTATGTTTTCAATAAATTAACACCGAAATCACCAGCCCAAACAATAACACTCACGAATGTGACGTATTTTTGAAGTTGTTTATTTTTTTTTAAATGACAGACCCAGGCATTAAAAACGTTATGGTTTGCTAAAGTAGTTACCGAAATAGCAATTAATATTAGTTCTTTTACCTATTATAACTTCGATATCCGAAAAATCGGTATAAAATCATCACCGGCACCTCTAGGTGTGGTATGCGTCTACGGCTGCATGTATCGCGTGAGCGGTTATCTTGCTAACTCTGTCATTTTTTTCAATGTCAGTGAATACATTTCTAGTAACAGTAGAGCTCTTCTCAGATTACAGCGTTCGACTTTTGAGGGGTAAGGGTGCTTGTGAAAGTACAGGGACATCGGACTTGTCAACTTATGTCTAATTGTGACAGGCGCTGTGGCAGTGCCCCTGAGATCTTTGCGATTTAAATCTCTGAGTGGCACTGCAACTGTTATGGACATGCGTGTTGCTTATCACCAGGCCCACGTCTCGTTTATCCCATCACTTTCCATTATAAAAAAAAATGTATCAATTATGTTAAACACGAGGTTAAATTGGCAATTGGCGAATTGGCACTTTCGCCCTTTCTACAAAACACCGAAGATGTATATTTAATCCAAAAGTTCGGCGGTCTCGTTCTTTGATTATTTTGAGTGTCTTAAACAACACCGATGCCATAATTTAGTGAACGGATCGAGACTGGCTCGTAGTGCTTACGCTCGGCAATAGATGGCGCCTTCGTGAATAACATATTATTTGACACTGCAAACAGCGAGAAATTTTAAAAGTAGGACGTATATGATTATGATAACCTCAGTATAGAGTACTAAAAAAATCGACTGAAATTACATATAATTACCAAGTTTTATTGCAATCGGTTACCGGAAAGTGCACAAACCCGGATTCATCCCCTAGTTCGCCACCATACGGGACTTGACACAGGAGATAATAAAAAACGGTTCTCACTACTCCAAGTATATTGAGAGAAAAACACCTTAAATTGGAGAATAGCAAAATCAACCATTAAAATAATGTAGCCATTACAATAAAATTTAGGCGCTATTCATAAAAATGAATCTTCATCCCTAGGAGCACATTTTATACGCCTCAAAACTATTATATCTATAAACAGTCTTAATATGGTATAGGTTTAGATAATAGTTCTCTATATATGGTTTTAGAAAAAAGAAATTGTTCTTATAGACTTATTTCACTCAAGTCAAAATTTTAAAACCTTCTATTAAGATTGCTTCAAGGCAATGAGCAAGAACTCCTGTACCTCGATAGTAGCCCACGTCTCCGGTTGCTCGCGCAACGATTTGACCCCTCACGGCGTCGTCGTGGAACTGCACTGTTTGTTACTAACGCATCATGGTTTAGAATTACGGCCTAAATTTCACTAGTACACATTGTGTATCTTTTACCGCCAAAAGGAAAATACTAACATCCCTTCAGGACTATATTATTTTTACAAAACATAGTGATAGATTTCCCAAAAATAACTTTTTAAGTTTTTGTTGTACAGTCAACAGCACATCGAGCTACACATTGACGTATCTTGTTTGGTATTAACCAAACAACTTAATTAAGTGTGATATCTGTTAAGATTTCTCATAAAGTACTTATTTTAAGTTCATTTGTAGATCAACTTATTATTTTTAGTAAAATTGTTCTATACATATCTAGTAAAGTCTATTAATACTCTAAAAACTAGTGTTCTTAAGTTTATTCTACACATATATTTCATTTATAGACATCCTGTGGTGTTTATACTTATTAACAAACACGTTCTAGCGCGTCTTCAGTAGATTTTATTTAAAAAACATTTTAATTAGGGTTTCTATTCTAGTGGACGTTGTAAGTTCATGCAAAATGGATGAAGTAAAGAATATTAAAAGATCTGGTGTAGGTGGTGAACCTTGGATTTTATGTCTAGAGATGAGATTAACTGCTGTATTCGCATAGCGCGCTAATTGCTAAATTTTATAGCGCGCTATTTAAAATGCTAAAATTATAATTTTTTTAGCAGTTCAATGGAAAGAAACGTGAAATAGTTGACGCTAATTTGATAAGTATAACATCTAGAATATCATACGAATAATCTTCAGTTTTTTACGGTTAGTTACGACTGGCTTAATTTATTTTGTAACTATTACATATGGTGGTTACAGTTACTTCATACCTTAATTATTTACAATTTGCACAAGACTTTACACTGGTTATTTACAGTAAATTACACTCATAATAATACTTTCTCCTACTTTTATATACAAATATTACGACAACTTATAAATTAAACAAACGCTAAACTAACTAAATAAATCCAAGTAATTATATCTTAATTTAAATCGCTTCACCAGACAAAATTTTGCTAACGTTCCATTATTAGCTCAATAGTCGTATTAAAACTTAACCAAAATTATAACTTATAACATAATTACAACTAACATCAATAAACCAATCAGCAATTTTGAGTTTCGCACCAAATGTTAAATGCTAGAAATAATATGTGAAAGTATTTCACGTTATAATTGTTTCAACCAATGATAAGAGCCGCAATTTTTTCACATAGAATATAGTGCCATCTATGAAATACTAAGGTAAATAACTCAGGACGAAGAAGCATTTTGTTTGTTAGCTGCGTAAGTAAAGCGGCAATCGACCCATTGAAATATTGTAAAATTATGTCGCTAGATGGCATCTAGTTTAATTTTCTTTACATACTCCAATCCAAAGTGAAAAAAAAGTACGTTATAATTTGTTTGTTGACAAATAAATAAACATTGTGAAGTACCTAATTCCGTGTTCTGAAGCGATAAAAACAATTTAAATTAGCGCGTAAACTACTGTACTTCCATGTTGTGTATGTGTATTGTGCCGTCTATCAATAGAATAAAGTGAAATCATTGTGTGAAATGTGGTTGGCGTGAAAAAATAACCTCAATTTTCTAAAGATAATTTTATTTCTCCCACCATAAGTTAAGTATGTCATTGAAATATAACTTATGTGATAGGGAAAGGTGGATACCTTTCTAGTCATTTATAACACATTCCATATACAGAATAACTTTTTTGCGACAAATTGGATTTTCAATTGTTTTTTTGACCTTGGGTGACGTGTGAAAGGTTATTTATTGCATTAAACGGTCACCATTCGCTGCAACTTTTACTCCTTATAAAAGTTTTGTAATACTGTCAAAAGAAAAAAATCGCTTAGAAACATCGCATTTCGTAGACAATCATAAAAGCTTCTTAAGAGTGAATATTCTTCTACAAGATCAATTACACTAAAGCAAGTAAAAATAATCTTTCCGTATTCTTAAGCTTTTTTATAGATAAAGCTATAGACAAAATGCTCCCAACAGTGTTTTGAAAAAAGCTTTAAATTATTACCGCCATTTTTATTTTTAAAGAATGACTATGAAGTAGCCGAGAAAAATTTATTTTCTTTTTAAAAAGTAAATCTAAGTTGAAATTAGCTTGAAGCAGCCAAGAACTTCTTGGAAATAGTTTGTTTTGTGAGTTATTTTGTATATTGAAGCTTCCTATAAATATTTAAAACTGTATTTTTATCAAGTTTATATTTATACATAAATATTTAAAATTCAGCGAGCGCATTACTTTCATGACAGGTTTTACATTACTTTTCACAATGTATTTAAAGTCGCACGCAAATTGGCGCTTTCTAAACGATTATACATTGCGCGAAAAAGTCAGAAATATTAATATCTAATTTCGCCGTGATGCAATTTTGATAGTTTAAATTTTGTAAACTTGAAATCTATTAGTATTAAGAGAATTGCGTCTTATATTTGTAACGCTTTAGGATTTTGGCTTTAAAATAGCATTACTAAGAAAACTATCATAGACTATAAATTATCTAAAAACTGTCTACAAGACTAAATAAAAACTATCTATATTCTACAAATGGTCTTGTAGCATTCTGGAAGGGTTACTTGAGAAAAAAGATAAGAATCACTCTTAACACTACCTACAGACAATTTCTCAAAGCACTCTTGTGATCTACTAATAAAGTTGTGCCCACTTTTACTTTTTAATTATCTATAAACCTTCTTCGAGATATCTTGAGGGAATTTGAACTCTTAAAATATTCAATCGAATTAAATTCTGCAAGGTGTGCTGAAAAAAAAGGTGTGCTGCTTGGGATGCGTGAACAGCTTATCACTACATAATAACACAAATACTCTCAGTACAGAGTACTAAAAAGACCGTCCTCATAAGTACGTGGAATTACATATCATTACCAAGTTTTATTGAAATCGGTTACCGGAAAGTGCGCAAACCCGGATTCATCCCTTAGTTCGCCACTATACGGGACTTGACACAGGAGATAATAAAATCGGTTCCACTACTCAAAGTATATTGACAGAGAAAAACGCCTTGAATTGGAGAATAGCAAAACCAACCATTAAAAATTATTGATCCTTATAATAAAATT